CTGGAGGCAAAAATGAGGTGAAGTGGGGGACTGCCCGAGAGGAAGAAGAATGGTGTGGGTTTCGCAGAAAAGGGAGGCTGCCGGTGTTTCTCTATTCTCTTAGATTGGGAAACATTATTAAGAGAGAGAGAGAAAATAAGAAGAAGAAGAAGATGATGATGAAGAAGATGATGAAGATTTTTTTTTTTTATCAGCAAAAAAGAGACTTTATTGATGTAAGGATCAAGAACAAGGTACAAAACATAATACACCAATAAAGAAAAGGGAAATGCAAGAGTATCACAATGAGTTAAATGATCCCAACTAGGTTGGCACCAAGAAGCCTATCCTATCATTTGCTAGTACCCCAGAGTTTGTGAGAAACCAATGAGAAAGGAAAAAAAAAGACCAAAACACCACAGAGCTGAACAGGATGGACCAGCAAATTAGACTAACAACAAGGTACAAAACATAATACACCAATAAAGAAAAGGGAAATGCAAGAGCATCACAATAAGTTAAATGATCCCAACTAGGTTGGCACCAAGAAGCCTATCCTATCATTTGCTAGTACCCCAGAGTTTGTGAGAAACCAATGAGAAAGGAAAAAAAAAGACCAAAACACCACAGAGCTGAACAGGATGGACCAGCAAATTAGACTAACACATACCTGAGACAAAACACCCAACCCAAACCAGATAACATCACAGCAGCAGCAATCAAAACACCCAAATTCATCACAGCAGCATAACTAACTAGCATCAAGCATAACAGATATCATCATAGCAACAGCAGTCAAACCACCCAAATTCATCACAATAACACAACAGAATAGCACAAAACAGAACCAAAACACTGCATTGTTGGTCAGCAAACCAACAAAGCAGACATCAGCAATAGCAGCAATGCCTCAGATCATTTTGTATACCAGATAATCATAAAACAAAGAGATAAAGCAATCAGAAGGAACATACCAGACAGAATCAACTGAAATCACTACTATTTCTTATGCAAAACAAACAAGACTCAACTAGATAAACTCTCATAACAGATACACACTCAACCACCGATCCTCAGGCAGAACTTGACCTGCTACAAGTTGTACACCAGATCATTTATAGAAGCTGCCACCTGTAGTGGCGATACCTTAGTCCACAAAGCTACTCAAACTTTCACAATGTCGCATAGAGCTTCAAAATCTGGTTGTAACCCATTGAAAACACACTCGTTTCTATGCATTCAAGTAGACCAAAGAGCTGTCATATGAATGGCCATCCAAATTTTCTTCTCCAATTTTGACATTCTACACCCATAGCACCACTGCAGCAGTCCATCTATAGAACCTAGCACGACCTACTAAAAACCCCACCATCTCACAATGTTTGACCAAAGCCTCCAAACAAAAGGACATATAAGAAGAATATGCTCCATGGTTTCAACATCATTATGGCAGAACACACATTCAAGATTGACACTCCCATCAAGTATACCAATTCTGTGAAGAAAATAGGAAGTTTTGACCTTACCAAGCCATGTCAACCATCCAAAAAATTGTACTTTAGGAGGAGAAAAATTATTCCATATAGAGCCTGCCATTGCCATAGCTGGACCAATCCATTTATATGCTGATGCTACACTAACAGTCCAGATGACTTTATTGTCCATTTCAATACATCTGGTTTTTCACTGCAAAGATTTGGTGCACTCCTGAGCAAACAAACTAATCTAAGTACTTCCTCCTCCTCCCATGCTAACAAAGATCTTCTAAACTCAAGGTTCCAATCATCAGCTACACCTTTATTCTCAAAAAACACCCTTACCACCCCATGCTTATTATTAGATAGAGAGAAGAGTCTAGGGAATTCCTCCTTTAAACACACATTATTAATCCACTTGTCCAACCAAAAGTGAATTCTACTCCCATCTCCCAAAGCTATCTGAGAATTATGAATATAGAAATTATGCAAGTCTGGATTCAACAAAGCTACATTAATCATATCAGTCCAGATCTTAGAACCTCTACCTTCCAAAGTTAGCAACCATTTCCCATATTGAACATTATATTTTGCGCAGATCACTTTTTTCCAGAGTGTGATTCTCAGCTCCAAACCTCCACCACCATTTTAGCAACAAGCAGTCATTGAATGTTCTAATCATCCTCAACCCCGAACCACCTAGATTCTTATTCTTTGCAATCACCTCCCAACGGACTAAATACACTTTTCTTCTAGGGTCTGATCCACCCCACAAGAAAGCCAATTGTATTTTCTTAATCTCCTTAGCTACTCCAACAGGAATCTTGAACAATGATAAATAGTAAACAAGCAGATTGGACAAAACTGACTTGATTAAAGTTAATCTCCCGGCAAAAAAAAAGTAGTCTTCTCTTCCAATTAGCCAATTTCTACTTGAATTTGATAAGAACAGGTTTCTAAGTACTTCTCCTACTTGGGTTTACCCCCAAAGGCAAACCTAAATACATTATAGGTAGCTTTTGATAAAGGCAATTTAGATTAAAGGCAAACTCTTGCAATAGTCCATCATCAACCCTAACACCACAAATGGCACTCTTGTGGTAATTTATTTTCAGCCCCGAAGCCATCTCAAAGCATCTTAAGATTCTTTTAATATTACAAACTTCTTCCTTCTTAGCTTCACAAAACAAAATCGTGTCATCCGCAAATTGCAAATGAGTTACTCTTAAGCCATTTGACCCCACCTCTGCCCCATTAATTAAATTTAACTATTTTGCCCTACTCAGCAATATATTGAGGCCCTCTGCTACAATGTTGAATAAAAACGGTGACAATTGGTCACCTTGACGAAGGTCTCTTTGTGGGCAAAATTCAGGTGTTGGTGGAGATGAAAATGAAGATGAAGATGAAAATGAGGGTATAACCGTCAATTTATAACTTTTGTTAACAAAAGTTAGTGTGCACTTCAATCCAATAATCACATGGGGGTTATGTGGTGATTTCTAAATGTCAGAGGGTAATCTGCATCCAGCCCAAACCACAGAGGGTAAAGTGAAGTTTGCTCTTTTTTTTTTTTTTTTTTTTAATTATGACTCAAAAAATATAAAGTTATACTTTTTTTTCTTTAGTTATAAGATGCATATGATACATACATTTTAAGTGTGTATGTGAGTAACATAGTCTTTCCTTACATAAATACATAACGAAATACATAAAGAAGAAGCATATCATATTAGAAGAGAAATGGAGATGTAAAGATGAGAGAAAGTATTAGGTGGGAATAAAGGTTTAGATGACGAAATTGCAAGTTGGGTAGCGGTTTTGAGTAAAGGGAAATGATCGAGGAGATCACAAAAAATGAGAAGCTGCATAAGGTCTTCTTTGTCATTGGCGTTGTAAGCGAGATGTCTTTTTTTCCATCATAATCGTCAAAATCGTAGCCAATATAATGTGTGCTAGAACATAGAAGAGATAAGAGACAAATAAGAGCACTAGCTAGACAAAGTTAGATGCGGGAGTTGCCATAGGGTAAGGGATGGAATTGTTAGAGTGAGAGTTGGCAAAAGAGGTAACGTAAGAGAGGAAGTTGTTAGAAAAATTAGGGAGTTGCACATATGAGGGATTGAATAAGAGGAGATGAAAGTATGGAAACATGATTTCAAACTAGTAAAAACACATTATTTTGTTTTCATTTGTTTTCTTTTATAAATCATAAGGGGTTGCCTTGGTGGTCAAGACTTGTAACTTGGGGATGTGCTTCTCCAAAGTCTCAAGTTCAAAATTTCCTAAATGCAAATAATTTTTTAGGACTACTCCATACGGCACTTTGCCATGGCTTTATATTGAAAAATTTATCAATTACAATGACTTGTGAAATTTCTTAGTTTAGGCACAAAAAAGTTGTTAATTGAGAAATTTCTGAGTTAAGCACACTAAAGTTGGTCATTGAGAAATTTCTCAATTATACACAAACAATTGTGAAATTTCTCAGTTACATGCAAAAAATGCCTCTCTTTATCGATCGATTGAATGTACCAAAGTAAAGAATCAAAAAATTACATTACAGCACACATACAAAAATCCACGTTGTGTCAAAGGGTGCAATATACTAAGCTCTCATCTCTTCCACTAAGGACATGGCCAACACATTACAAACCAAACCTTAACTAAAAACTAATTTAAGTCTTAATTCTTGCTCTTGTTGAAGTACAAAAAACAATCTTCCATGCTCCATTTTATTCTACCAAGTCTCTCTATAGACTATGTATATGTATATGTGTATATATATATATGTGTGTGTGTGTGTGAATTGCAGTAGCTTGAGGGCCCGTTTGTTTTGGGAGATAGAATGGAGGGGATTGATAGTGAGGGGATTAATAGTGAGGGGATTAATAATGAGGAATTGTTAAATTATTTTTATATAAAATAATAAAACAAATAAAAAAATATAAAAAATTAAACATATAGACTATGTATATGTATATGTGTATATATATATATATGTGTGTGCGTGTGTGTGTTGCAGTAGCTTGAGTATGAACTATTGCAGTGTTGTCCTAAATATGGTTTAGTAGCTTCTTAATGTTCCCGATAAAAGCCAAACTCGCATGACCAGAACCTTTAGCCACCCCTTATTCAGATACTCATTCAATCTCAAATGAAATCTTTGTGGGGTTTTTTCTTCTTTTGTTTTGGAATTAGAAAACAAGGGATTTATTAATTTGAGAAATTACATCGGCTTAATCAGGACTGCACATAAAGATTCATAAACCAAACCAAGCTAAACCAAGCCTTAAGTCTCATCAAATGGGGTTGATTACATGAATCTTTATTCTCCATTCGACTCTATCGAAGGCCATTTCGTTATTCAAATTAAGGAAGTTCGTATCTCTATTTACTACACTAACACACGTCAATTTAGATCTGTCCCTTCTTCTAACACTTCCATTTATCATTACTGTATCGCATCTCTTCGCTATTATATTTCATCGATATAGTGATGATGCATAATGTATTCATAAGATTTAGTTACATAGTGAAAATGACTATCACATAAAATGTTTAAATAAAAAGATTTTGAAAATAAATAAATATTTCCCAAAACCTTAGTTGCTTATCAATAGCATTAGAAATTACAAAGTTTAGCATGACCAACCAAATCAACAAGAATAACTCACATTCAAATGAGAAATGTCTAAATCCCCCTCTCTTCTATACCACATTACCACTATACCTTTTCCCACCTTAGACCAAAAAAACAAAAATCTTGACAAGGGAAAAAAGAGAAAATTGCAAATAATTAATAGCCCCACTCAACCCCAAGTTTACCAACCTAAAGCAAATACGCACTAGAAATGTCATGCAGTATATACACATACAAAGAGGAGACCAAACTCACTAAACCCCCAAAGTTCATTCTTCAACACTGTGCAGTTGATGATGATGATGATGATGATGATGATGAAGCCAAACCTGGGTTGATGACTGATGAGACGAGGAGGATCCGAGGTTCCTCTCAGAGCAAATGGGCTTTCTCAACCTTTGATACTAAAAAATTATAGGCTGAGCTGAATTCTTTGCAGCTGACATGATCGCTCCGATCCAAACTCCTCTCTCACCAATGCTGCCATTCCACGAGAAAAAAATTCTTGTTTTTTCGGTAATTCCATCCCCACTGTGGCCATAAAATTCACTACAAAGAGAAGTAATGAAACCCAAAAAAAAAAAAAAAAAAAAAAAAATTTGAAATAAAATAAAATAAAAGGGAGATCAAGTAAAAGAAACCATAAAGTTTGATTTGCTAGATCAGAGAAGGGACTGAGGACCCAATATTTGCAGGATCAATCCAATTCCAATAAAGAGATGGATCGGACGGGTTGATCTGTTCGATCTGATTCTGGACATTAACATTCCAATCCAACCTGTTTTGGCTTTCCTCCATTTTCATTTCCTTCATAATTATACCAGCTTCATCGCTAACCGGCATTGGCAAATCTTCATAAGGTACTAATCCTTGAAAACCGTTAGCTTCCCGAAGATCCTTCAAGCCATTGGAGACAAATTTCTGTTGATGAAGTCTTGAAGAAGCTAACAAAGAAGCCATAGTCGAAGAAGCCGAAGATCCAAACATGGAATAGCTTTGGAGAAGTGAATTTGAATTAGCATTACCAACTTGTTGGATTTGCTTATTTGGATCAAACCCGTTTCGGTAATCGTTGTTTTGAACATCACTGACCATAAGTCCAGATGAAAACCCTAATCCAAGAGCATTCAACTGAGGCTGAAGATCAAACCCAGAAACAGTATCAACATTTGAAACCCTAGAACTTGAATTGAACCTAGGGTATGGAAGAGTGAGCTCAGAAGGGTTAGTGGGTAATCCATAAAACAACGGATTAATAGGGTTTGAGGATGAAGATATGTCGATCTGAGTTTGAACATTAGGGTTTGCAGATTGAACATTACGGTTTGATGATGAAGAAGAAGGTGCATCAATGGCTGAAGCTGAGGAGGGTGCTCTCTTGACCCTTTTGTTCTTTCGACACCCGCCACCGACCGGAACGTTTCGTAGGGTTCCACCTCTGGTCCAGTAACGCTTACAAGCTTTGCAGAAGTGTCTTGGCTGAGACAAACTGTAATTGTTGTAGTAACAGAACTTGGTGTTTGATGAATCACAGCGAGGACACCTGAGGGCTTGATGAATTTGGATTTGGCTTTGGTCTTGGATTGGTTTCTCCATAACCCTACTTGTTGAGGAAATCAAAATGTTCTCATCTATCTGATTCTGCAGCAAAGAGAGAGAAGAAAGAGAGGTTATGGGTGTGTTTTAGGGTAAAAATAACAACACAAGATAGAGATTCTAATTCCAAAAGCTAGAAAACAAAATGGGGTCATGTTTTGTGCCTAATAATTGAGAGAGAGAGAGAGAGAGAGAGAGGAATGAACCTGTGGCCATTCGTTGGTAGTTGAAGAGATGAGTAGCATCTTCTCACAGTTACCCAACATATTTTCTTGTCTCTGAAAGGAATCGTTGGAAACAAAGAGTAAACAGACAAAGAACAGGTGGAGACGTGGGTGGGTCATTCTTGATGGGCTTGAAGTAGAGGGAATTGGCAAGAGACAGTGGTGATGTAAAAATTTAGTAGGAAGAAAACCATAACTTTAAAAATAATAATAATAATAATATATAATTTATATACAAAATAATTTATTTGGAGATTTACTATTTTAAAACAGTGTCCTACAAATAATATTTAATTATAAAATATCACTATCATCTTATTTCAGTGAAAATTTTTGTTAAAAAATCTTTAAAAAATAGTGGTCATATGTACTTAGTTTGAATTTTAAAATTTTATTTTTTAATATTTATTTTTGTCAAATTAATTTCTATTTTTTCAAAAAAAATTCAAAAAATGAAACCAAACATGGCCAGTAATCTTTGCAAGATAATTTTGTTATTGATTGGAATAATAATATATAAATAAAAATATATTATACAAAAAAAATCTATACAGCACCGGTCACCTCATCCAACACTTTCTCCGGCCACTGCCAACCACATTCCACAAGCAAAAATCACCTTAAGCCACCAACTTTTGCTACAAACTATTTTTAGCCACCACCGCACGCGGCCAGCAGACACTTTTGGCAACCATCAACTACAAGTGGCCACCACCTCTTGAAATCACCTCTAAACACTATCTTTAAATGTCGTTTTTGACCATTGATAATTATATTCAACCATCACTACTCACTAAATTATATTCGGTTATTTTAAATCAAAAGGCACATGCATCAAAGTGGATCACAATTTTAAAATTCATAAATTATTTTCCTATTATTTTATTTTTAATCTGGCAGGGTGGGTATGGTTAACATGAAACAAGATTAATTTTTTATTCGAAAAGAAAAAAAGAAAAGGATGGAAACAAAAATCAAAGACATGCACATTCTTTTTAGTATCCAAGAACATGACAGAGAGGTAAAGTATGTCACAGATGAATCTGGAGGGGTCCAAGAAAGAAAGAGAACATTTACATGACATTGCAGACCCTTACAACATCACTACGTTAACTTATACATACATACATATTCCTTTTTCCTGTGTTAAATTAGATTAGACCAGAAGAGATAGAAAAATAGATTGAAGAGAGAGAGAGAGCGAGGTGGAATCCCCAGAACCCAATACCCGAGGCTGTAAATCCGGCATATATATATTTTTTTAATTAGGATATTCTTGGTCAATTTATGCCCATTAGACTAATCTTTACGGCCCAAATAAGTCTTCCTCCGAAATAGGACTAACGCCCTGCTATCTGTGACCCCAAGATATGTATCTGTTAGCTAGGAGATTGAAACTTAAAACCTCAGAGGGAGCAAACATCAAGACCCAATCGTCACCCACTGAACCAATCACCCACTGATTAATCCGGCATATCCCACTTCTCACTTTCTCTAAAGTTATATAATCATAATTATAGTAATATTGTACGGAAAATAACTGCTCAGTGTTAGTTTGTAAAATTAATTTTAAATTAATGATAAAATTTATAAATTTTAATCATTAATTTTATAAATTTTTTCATGAATAATTAATTATTTTTAAATAATTTTTATGAGTATTAATTTAAACAATTAATTTTCACCAATCAAAAAAAAATATTGACAAATAATTTCCCCAGTATTATATACCCACTAATAATATTAACATCTATGTTACAAACGCAATGAAAAAAAAGGGTGTATCATGTCCATTTAATAGAATGTAGAGTGATTACAAATACTTTTTTTTTTTGGATAAAAAAAATATATATTTGTGTCACAAAAATTTCCGTGTGTAATTTTTTTATCTTTTTAAAGTTCAGTGATACGGTGACTCCAACATTTTAGTACGTGGCATTATGAGCCTTCATAATAATTGCTTCTCTACAACAAATTCCACTTCATATTTGTTAGAATTTGTTTCATATCTCATCAATATAAACGGAAGCACATTATGCACAATTTTTTTAAAAAAAAATCACACACAAAGTTATGTAGTTCGACACCAATTTTTTTTTTATCAGCAAAAAAAGATACTTCATTGATGTAAAGACTAGTACAAGGTACGAAAGAATTACACCAATAAAGAAAAGAGGAGTGCATAGCACCCCAAAGTTGGTGAGAAACCAACGAGAGAGACAGACCAAAAACCAAACCAATGCTGCAGGCAGAGAACCAACCAGGCTGCACAAATTATCTATATATGCAGGAAAGCAATTCGACTATAAATAAATAGGCAATACATATGAGATCGAACCCTATACTCAAAGATAATGGTATTTTTTTTCTCACTCCTTAATTACGCTTCTATTTTTTCCTCATCTCAATCTCACCAAAAACCTATATATCTTGCTTCGCTATTTATAATAGTTTACTCATAAGAAACTTAATTCTATATGATTAGTTAACTGAATCCTATACATATTTAATTTCTTACTATATTCTAAATTCTACTATGGTAACTCAAATACATATATAAATCAACTCAAATTGTATAGAACCACAACTATCATGTGGACTAATCCTAATATTATTTATCTATCTGATCATGATCCAATGCTCCTTTGATGGGTTATCATCCAGTGCTACAATAACATGATTATTGATACATGGTTAATGCAAATCATCCACTAGTGTTCATTTTCTCCATTCTATTAGTTAGGGATTATAAAATTAAAGAAATAAAGACTGTGTTCGATCTGAATAAGATCTAATGTATGATATTTACCAGATTTGTCATGCTAAAATAGAAACTCAACGCATTTTATAATACATTTGGTATAGTTGGTGTGTGTGTGAATAAAATTTTGGGTGGTGCATGACACAGCACCTTGGTGATAGAGAAGCAATATAAGAAAGATGTGATGCTACTTTTGCAGAAAATTATCCACTTGTTCTCTCTATATACAATTATATTATTGTATATACGTAGTGAAAATTCCAAGAGAGAGGGACAAGAGAGAGCATGTGGTAGTGCACATCTCTCAGACTGAAACATGGTGAGGCCATGCTTTATTCCCAAAGCTCTTTGTTGTGTGCAAACTTCTTCTTCTTTTTCAGCTTCCACCTCCCTTGGTTTGGAAGAAAAAATCCTTTCTATACCTAAAAAATAAGCACTTTAAACAGAGTGTATAATATATTTAAATTTGGTTTATTTTGAGTCATACATAGTATAAATTTAATCCCCTATATATTTTATTTTTGAGGTAATTTTTGAAATATAATCTTGGGGAAATTACAAAAATAAAATAAAATAGAATTTGACATTTATAACAAATTAAACCCTAAATTTTTAATTTTGTCAATTTAAATTCTAAATTTTTTTATCTATTTTCAATCTAAATCATTTGTATATTTTCATTAAGTAAAATTGACAAAAAATTTTATATTTTAGTTATTAAACTCAATTAAAAAGAGTTATTTGGACACTTTATGTATAACTACATTGAGGTTAATGACTAAAATACTCTTTTTCTGTCAGTTTTACTTGACAAAAATAGGTGAATGATTTAAATTGAAAACAAATTAAAAAATTAAGGTTTAAATTGATAAAATTAAAAACTCAAATTTTATTTTGTTATAAGACTCAAATACTGAAATTTTTTTTATATAATTATCCCAATAATCTTTTAGCGTCCTAGTATTATTTTATTTTATCAAAAGACAAGTTTTGTTTATTTATAAGAAGTTGGCTACACAACATGCGTAGCTATCCCACATTTGTCAAAAAAGAACAAAGGCGGCAAAAAAAACTGGGTGGATTTGGGTGAACCTTCAATGGTCTAATCTTAGTTCTAAATATATATGTATATAACAAATTTTTAATTATCTAATAATGAGTGGTCATTTTCGAAAATATCTAACGAATACGTTAAAATTCTAAATACTTTAGAATTATTTTTACTTTGAAAACAATCATAAAATTGTTATGATTCCTAACTATTGTCGAATGAGTGTTTTTTTTTTTTTTTTTGGCTAGTCCAATGAGTGTTTGTTAAGACTAAAAAATTAGCATTTTAATACTGTTAGCACCATAAATCTGTAATTTTATTATTATTTATTTTTTATATAATTGTACGACATGTGACATCTTCCTACTCAATTGGAGGTTATGAGAAGTTATGAAATATGAAAAGATGATAGAGAATAAAATGGAGAACATAGACAATAAATGGGAGGTTAAAGGAAGTTATGAAGACATAGAGGGATATGTGGCATTGTGGGAATGAAGGTGGAAGAGTGGGTAGTTTTAAGTGGTTATTAGGTAGTTATTGCTAGAAGTTTTTTCTATAAATATTTGTCTATAAATAGTCATTCATGGCTATATTGTAAAGAATCCAGAATTCAGATTAAAGACAATTGATTTCAATATGTCTTGTCATTTTTCTTATCTTAGGGGGTAGTTTAACATAGATTTATATTTCAAAACATTTGTTTTCAACATTTCCTTTTCAAAGCATTTAATGCACTTCCTTTTCGAAACATAGGAGTAAAGATAAGTAATTATTACTTTGATTGTTCCCTCAATCAACTTTCTCCGTCTCCCTCATTCTTCTTTTAATTTTTCTTTTCTCTACACTTTGACAATTTTGAAGTCCTCTTTGTTGAGGCAAAAGAACTGTCAACACAATCGCTTGATAATTGGCTTGAATTTAATTTGTAAAGATTTTTCAATCCTTGCTGACACGCTCGCATTTATGATATTTTTCTTCATAGAAAAAATAAGGCAACAAATACATACGTTATATATATATTCTCAGATACTTTTATATATTTCTATTAAATTTTTTTTTTACAATATACCAATATTAATGTTTAGTATTTTTCAATTATTATTAGCATGATCCATATATCTATCTATATCTGTACTATTGTATAAAGGTCATGCTATGGTACATAACCTCAAAAAATATGTATCATAAACAATTTATGACATTTGTGAAATTGATTATTGCAAATGTCATAACTAATATTTTTAAGATTATAATTTTAAAAAAAATCATAATTAAACACAATTTAACGAGGGGGTTGAACTTTGAACAAGATTCATATGGTATGGCTAGTGGAACAA